AAATTGTTAGTTTATTTTTAATTATTTGTTATAATATATATATTTATATATACACACACACACACACACACACGTGTTTAATTTTACTCAAGTGTTTTTATATTAATATATATATATATATATATATATATATATATATATATATATACACACACACATTGTATATAGATATAATATATGTACTGTGTAAATATATCTCATATACATATATATTTTTTACATTTATTAACTTTGTTTACATTTTTTAAACATTTAATTTTTTATTTTTTTTCATCAGCAGGGGGACTGCCTGTCAGTTCAGGCAGTCCCCCTGCTGGTAGCACAATGGACACCTATTTGGGCCATGAGACCGCTCTTTCACCCCTGGGGGTCCTAAATTGGAGAGGGGGGACTCTCTGGGCTCAGTCCAGAGAGTTCCCCCAAAGAAGAAGACCGATCGCCGGCGGGGGAATAGTGGTGATCGGTAAGTACATGGGGAGGGAGGATAGGGGTTAATTATTTATTATTTCATTTCTTTCTTTTTTTCCCCTTAAAACAGTTACTGAGTGCCTCGACCCCTTAAGGACCATTTTTGGTCGGACGTACCTGATATGTCAGCGGTCCTTAAGGGGTTAATAGGTGCCCCATTTTTTTACAACAGTTAGCAGCCAGCAGCACAGCGACTAGGGGCAGAAGGGAGATTTTAGCCTCCCTTATTTACTAATACTAAATATTTTTACTTAGTATTAGTAATGTTGGCTGAAAGACTAATTTTGGTCAGATTTTTAGCAGATAGCGCCCTAATCCATGTGGGATTGCCATATAATATAATGGCAATCCCACAGAGTACCAGTTTAGGGTGTTCTCTACTAAAAAGCTGAAAGAACAAAAATGGTTTTTCAACCAACACTAAGATGCAGCTGTGGCCCAAATCTGAATTTCATAATTCCGAACCAAGACTAATGACCGAATTTCGTTTTAAAACTAATAGATAAAATGCGACATTCATCTTGGACGAAATTGGGTCATTTCGCCGGCACCCTTGTGTACACGAAAGGACATTCAGAAATAGCAATAGAAGGAAACGCGAGAACACAGAAGAAAGGTAACTATAGGAAAACTTTCCTAGACAGAGGAAGTAGAGCTTATTTAAGCTCCTCCTTGTGTCAAAGAAAGTCAAGCGCAGTTAAAAATACAAAAGACAAATTAGTCTACTTTGCCCTATGTTTTTAGTTAGAATCAGCTGGAAAATAATAATTAAAACAAAATAAGAGACAGAGTAGGAAAGAGGAAGCCATTGGGAAAAGGTAAGTGACGCGACAGTGCCACTTTTAAAAAACAATCACGATTTGTCTGCACTAGATGCAAAACAATGATAAAACTCCCTGTTAACACTACCCACACTTCTAGTATACAAGCTGCCACCCACAGAATAAATTTAAAAATGGGAAGTCCCCAGCCATATTAGATTAAAAATCCACAAAACACCATTTAGAATAAAGGGGGAAAACACCATTATTCAAGGCTCTAAAGTAATGTGATTCTTATACAAGACAAAGGCAGAATTTCATGAAAAAAATATTTATTAAAATAAATTTTAAAATGTCACAGAGCATACAAATAAACATATATTATAGATTACACCACACAAACAAAATAAAAAGAGAGAAATTAAACAGTTCTTCAGAGGTCAAAGTTTTCACTCGCCACTAGCCATTGGAAAGTCAAGTTTAACCCTGGCAAGCAGAAATTCACCCATTGTTAGTATGTTATGGCGTGTAGTGACAAGTATTAAGGCCCGGCTAATAGCATATGACTTCAAATTTTTAACTGTACCTCAACTAACAAGCAGTGTGCAAAACAATCACCACCAAAATACGGGTATTTCGGGTCTCCTGGAAAGTAAGGTTTAAAATTTCTGAATATGTATAGTGTGACTTTCACAATATTTTAAAGTGCTTCAGTGAAAAATGTGCAGTTTATTTAATAAATGACTTACCTTTCGGTGTAGAAAGCCAAAAGATCTTCTAAACAATCTTCAATAAATATCAATATGTAAAAATAGGAGATCTCCTGCCAGGGGAAAAAATGGCACAACATAGTGCAAAACTGTGCAGCTGAGTAGAAATTTATTTTATATGCCAAAAGGCCACTAACAGTTTTGTAAAAGATAAATATTAAAAATGTTTCCAAAATTACACAAAACTTAAGAGAACCACCAGGAAGACCAATCATTAATGGGATAAATTTTATTACTGCACATCTGTCAGAATTCATAGACCACCACTTGCAGGAATACGCACAAGAAGCACCTTCATATCTAAGAGATTCTTCCAATATACTTGAAATTATGGAGAATGTAAAATGGGAAAAATACTTTATAGTGTAATAGTTGTTATGCATTTGTTTCACGTTCTACTTTTTGGAGATTTGGAGGCTGTGTAATCTGTAGACAGTTCTCTATATTGCGGCAGGAGATTGTGTTTTTGAAGTCTGAGATTTGTAAATTATCTGGTAAACAAACTCAGGCTGGATGTGGCCAAAATAGTGAAAAACAAAAAGTTAGCATTTAGTAATTATAAAAAAAAACCCAGAGTGAGGAAGACAGAATGATCTATAAGATTAGGCAGAAAGAGGCTAAGAAAGTTATAAGAGCTTCCAAATCACACACAGAAGAGAAAATAGCACAGTCAGCAAAAAAAGGGGACAACATTTTTTAGATGCATAAATGAGAAAAGGAAAGTAAAACAAGGATTAGTTAGATTAAAAACAAAAGGAGGAAGATATGTAGATGAGGATACAGGTCTAGCTGACTGCCTCAATATTTTTGTTCAGTATTTACAGATGAAAATGAAGGAAAGGAGCCTTAGTTAGGAAAAAGGACAAATTAATCACTTGTTTCATGTGAGTTTACAGAGGAAGAGGTTCTTTTTCAACTGCCAAAAGTAAAGACAAATAAGTCAATGGGACCTGATGGAACACACCCAAAGTTATTAAAAGAGCTTAGTGGTGTACTAGCAAAACCATTAACAGATTTATTTGACCAATCATTGTTAACAGGAGTAATCCCAGAAGATTGGAAGTCAGCGAATGTTGTGCCCATTCACAAGAAATGTAGTAGGGAGGAGTCGGGCAACTATAGGCCAGCAATCCTTACTTCAGTAGTGGGGAAAGTAATGGAAACCATGTTAAAGGATAGGATTGTTGAACAACATGGGTTACTAAAGGGGGATCATGCCAAACTAATCTTATTGATTTTTTAGATTGGGTAACTAAAAATAATAGATCAGGGTGGTACAGTAGACATTGCTTACCTAGATTTCAGTAAGGCTTTTGACACTGTTTCACATAGAAGGCTTATCAATAAACTGCAATCTTTAAGTTTGGATTCCAATATTGTTGAATGGGTAAGGCAGTGGCTGAGTGATAGGCAACAGAGGATTGTAGTCAATGGAGTATATTCGAAGCATGGGCTTGTCATCAGTGGGGTACCTCAGGGATCTGTACTTGGACCCATTCTTTTTAAATATTTTTATTAGTGATATTGCAGAAGGTCTTGATGGTAAGGTATGTCTTTTTGCTGATGATACTAAGATATGTAAGATATGTAACAGGGTTGATGTTCCAGGAGGGATAAGCCAAATGGCAAATGATTTAGGTAAACTAGTAAAATGGTCAGAGTTGTGGCAGGTGACATTTAATAGGGATAAGTGGAAGATAATGCATCTTGGACATAAAAACCCAAGGGCAGAGTACAGAATATTTGATAGAGTCCTAACCTCAACATCTGAGGAAAGTGATCTAGGGGTTATTATTTCTGATGACTTAAAGGTAGGCAGACAATGTAATAGAGCAGCAGTAAATGCTAGCAGAATGCTTGGTTGTATAGGGAGAGGTATTAGCAGTAGAAAGAGGGAAGTGCTCATGACAGAACACTGGTGAGACCTCACTTGGAGTATTGTACGCAGTACTGGAGACTCTATCTCCAGAAGGATACTGATACTTTAGAGAGGGTTCAGAGAAGGGCTACTAAACTGGTTCATGGATTGCAGGATAAAACTTACAAGGAAAGGTTAAAGGATCATAACATGTATAGCTTGGAGGAAAGACGATGATAGAATGATATGAAACATGAAAAATGATAGAAACATTTAAATACATAAAGGGAATCAACACCGTAAAGGAGGTGACTATATTTAAAAGAAGAAAAACTACCACAACAAGAGGACATAGTCTTAAATTAGAGGGACAAAGGTTTAAAAATAATATCAGGAAGTATTACTTTACTGAGAGGATAGTAGATGCATGGAATAGCCTTCCAACTGAAGTGGTAGAGGTTAACACAGTAAAGGAGTTTAAGCATGTGTGGGATTTGCATAAGGCTATCCTAACTATAAATCACAATTGTTTTGTATTTGATGGCACATTTTATCTGCAGCTAACGGGAACTACCATAGGGACCAGGTTTTCCCACAGCTCTGCCAATATATACATGAGAGACTGAGAAGCCAGCTCTGTGTTGAGAGGACATGGCTGGGCAGCAAGCCTGGTCCTCTGGGGACGTTTTATAGATAATATCCTTTTAATCTGGAATGGTATCCCAAATGAGCTAATTATATTTTCATAAAACATCAACATCAATAATGAAGGTCTAAAACTGACAAACATTTAACACTGAGACGATTCATTTCTTGGATATTATCTTCTATGTAGAAGGTCAGACGATTCAATCAAAGTGTCATTTTAAGGAAAAAGAAGGGAACAGTTATATACACAAAAAAAGTTGCCATCACAAAAATTGGTTAGATGGGGCTGGGGTCCGACTGCCATGGTGGAGAGACGCATCGTGAGGGAGCTCCTCCACTGTTGTGTTTAAAAATCATTCCTGTGACCTTACTTGTCTTGCAAAAATACAGCTGAGAGTAGCTAGTAAAATAGCTCACCTTGCCTTCCTGAAATGACGGCAACCGCGGACACCATCTGCAGTGCCTGACTGGGAGGCCAGGCTCAATAGCATCTTTGCCGTTTCTGGAAGCAGCTGAAACGCAGGGTGTGCCGAAAGTAACCTCGCCACTGGTACTTGGAGAGCCTGCTTGCCCCAGGATTATGGGCCCTGCAAAAATACATGTTAAAAAGTGACTTCCATGGAAAAACGAAACCACTGAACCAATGTGGGTGATTTTTGGATATGTTGGTCACCCAGATCAGGGCTATCCAAGGATGTGACTATTGTGGGTACTTTTGGGGTGTTTGTAAATTGTGTGTTTTTCTGTACCTGGAGATAATTAATTCTCTCTCAGACACAGAGGAGGAGTATGTTGAATGTATTGCTTATCTGTGCCTCTCCCCCTCCCTTTTTTCTTTCCTATTGTTTCCCATCTGATCTCCCATCAGCCCTTGCTATTGTCTGACCCTACCCTTCCTTGTACTATAGTGCCCTATGTAACCTATTGTATGTAAATGAGGCTGCTGGGGGTTTATTTTTCATTTTTATATTTTTCTTCTCCCATTTCAGACATTACCTGCCAAATAGTTTTCAAATACTTCATTGTTTAAGGCTTTGGTAAATTGTCAACATCAATAGTGAGTTTCCATCTCTCCCCTCTTCCATTAACTTAATGTTAATATATTATCATCTAATCCTATCTATCTTTAATTTTAATCTATAAAATTCTATATCTCATCATAAGGTAAAAGAGAAGGTGGGCGCATCAGCTGATACAGGAGTATAAATTTTTAATATACATTCATTCAACAATCATACACATACCCAGTACAGTAAGGAGAATCAAATTAATCTTATTCTTTATGTTACAGTCAAAAGAAAGGTAATCTTATAATACATCCTTTTCATTTTCTAGCAATTTTACCCATTCAATCAACATATCATAATCTTTATAGTTGTTTCTAATTTTGTTAACCCCTATTTCCATTCGTAACTGAAATTTTACTTGTTGCAGCAGCTCCTTTTTAGATAATTTGTATGTCTTCTTCCAATTTCTGGCTATTATGAGCTTAGCCGCTATCAGGTAGTGTGTTACTAACATTTGGTTTATTTTGTTTAAGGTGGGCTATCCAAGCTAAGTGTAACAGCATCATTTCTGGGTTAGTCTCTATAGTAATGTCATTTAATCTAGATAACAGAGCTTTAACCATATTTCACAAAGGGAGTACTATTTTACAATTCCACCATATGTGGAGATAGTCGCCTCTTACTTCTCCGCATCTCCAACATAGATCATCATAGATCATCTCCAACATAGATCATCATTTTCGGCTGATATTCTGGACATTTTAGAAGGTACTAAGTACCATTTATTTATCACCTTATAGTAAATTTCTATTAGGTGGAAACTGTGCACATATTTATTACACTTAGTTATTGCCCAATACCATTTTTCTATATCTATAGTGATGTGTAGACTTTTCTCCCAGCTTTTAATTGCTGTTGGATAATTTTTTACTTCTCTGGTATCCAGTAATCTAATACTCCTTGAAAATAATTTTTGTTTCATTGTTTTTGAATATTAATTTTAACGTATTATACGTGTCTCCTTGATTCATAAAATTATACTTTTTTAAATAACTATTTACTCTTAGATATGTGAAGGCATCTTGAGGTGCTAGAGACGATTCTCTTCTCAATGTATCAAAGGGTTTTATCTTATCATCTGAAAATAAGTCTTCTATCTTTGTAATGTTTCCTTCTTTCCACTTTTTCAAAGAAATATTAGGAATTCCTCTTTCAATGCACTCTATACCTTGAAAACCCAGAATCTTATTTTTGATATCTAATTTCTTTTTAATCTTTTCCCAACTGGGTATTAGATGATTTAACACGTATGAGGCAGAGTATTCACATGCTTTACTGTTCCATTCTATACTGGATAGCAGAGGCGGCTCTCTAATTAGGCGGTTTAGACGGCCGCATAAGGCCTCGTGGCTTCCTAAACCGCCTGTGGGCAGACTGTCAGGTCCTCGGTCAGTGACCGAGGACCCGACACCAGGAGGGGGCCCGACGGCTTGCCCGCTCTGCCGCTGGGTGCGAGGCTCCCTCCTGGCTGCCTGGCCGGCCACCACAGACACTGGTCTGCAGCTCCTCAGTGAGCAAAGCTGCAGACCATGTGTCTCGCGAGAACTGGCCAATCAGAGAACTGGCCAAAGCGGAGCTGCAGACAGGAAGCAATGGACACCGGACCACCAGGGAGTAAAGGTAGGTTCTCTCTCACCACCCCCCCACCATCCTCAGCCTCACCACCCCCCACCACCCTCAGCATCACCACCCCACACCACACAACCCTCAGCCTCTCCTCCCCACACCACCCTCAGCATCACCCCCACACCACCCTCAGCCACACCACCCTACACCACCCACCCTCAGCATCACTCTCCCTCACCCCCCTCACCATCAACCATCCTCCCTCACCCTCAACCCCCTTCCCCCTCACCACCCTCAGCATCACTCTCCCTCACCACCCTCAGCTTCACCCTCCCTCAGCATCACCCCCCACCACCTTCAGCATCACTCTCCCTCACCATCACCCCCCCACCACCTTCAGCATCACTCTCCCTCACCCCCTCTCCCTCACCACCCTCAGCATCACTCTCAACCCTCTCCTCACCACCCTCCCTCTCACCATCACCCCTCCCTCTCATCACCCCCTCCCTCTCACCACCCTCCCTCTCACCACCCTCCCTCTCACATTACCATCACCCCTCTCACCATCACCTCCATTTCCTCTCACATCACCCCCCACACCATCACCTCCCTGTCACCTTGACCCCCTCTCACCATCACTCCCCCATACACACAACACACTTCAAGCAACTACCCCATACACATAGGGTCTCAGACAAAAACACAAGGATACTCTCTGTCAGACACACTCTCAGGCACATACACATGTAAACTGTGCATCAATGTGTATATGTGACACTTTTTTGTTAGTGGGGCCTCATGTTTGAGTTTCGCCTAAGGCCTCAAAGTCTAGAGCCGCCTCTGCTGGGTAGAATCTTAGTTTGGCATATCTCAGACTCTAGCCAGAACCAGCCCTCTTTATATGAAGCCTCTTTCTGGAATATTGCAATGTGGGAGATTATACCCACCTCATAATATTTTTCTATACTCAGGAAACCCAGTCCCCCTTTATTTATATGCTTACACATCGTGTCTATTTTTATGCTTGGCTTTTTGCCTCTTCATACAAAGTTAGTGAAGGCAGATTTGATCATTTTTAGCCATGGGATAGGTATTATTAATGGAAGCATCCTAAATAAATAAATCCATTTAGGAAGGACATAGGCTCTCAACGTATTGACTCTTCCCCACCATGATATTTCTGCTTGACATAATTCTCTTAAAAGGTGTAAGAAATTAATTTCCATTAGTCTGTCTATAGGTTTACTTATTTTAATCCCTAGATAAGCAAATTCTTCTGCTTGAGAGAAGTTGAATTTCTTTTGAAACTCAATTCTACATTTTTATCCATCGCTATCGATTTTGTCATGTTTAGTTTATAATTGGATATACTACTGTATAGTTAGATTTCAGTCATTAGTTGTGGGAGTGAATTTTCAACATCTTTTACATATAAAAGGGTATCATCTGCATATAATGATATTTTTAAATCACCCTTAGAGGTGTAAAGACCCTTTATTGATGGATTTTGTCTTATTTTTGAAGCAAAAATTTCTAATGTAATAATATATAAGATTGGAGACAGGGGACCCTGTCTTGTTCCATTCTCTAATCCAAACCAGTTGGAACAAATATACTGGCCTATACAGGGAGTGCAGAATTATTAGGCAAATGAGTATTTTGACCACATCATCCTCTTTATGCATGTTGTCTTACTCCAAGCTGTATAGGCTCGAAAGCCTACTACCAATTAAGCATATTAGGTGATGTGCATCTCTGTAATGAGAAGGGGTGTGGTCTAATGACATCAACACCCTATATCAGGTGTGCATAATTATTAGGCAACTTCCTTTCCTTTGGCAAAATGGGTCAAAAGAAGGACTTGACAGGCTCAGAAAAGTCAAAAATAGTGAGATATCTTGCAGAGGGATGCAGCACTCTTAAAATTGCAAAGCTTCTGAAGCGTGATCATCGAACAATCAAGCGTTTCATTCAAAATAGTCAACAGGGTCGCAAGAAGCGTGTGGAAAAACCAAGGCGCAAAATAACTGCCCATGAACTGAGAAAAGTCAAGCGTGCAGCTGCCACGATGCCACTTGCCACCAGTTTGGCCATATTTCAGAGCTGCAACATCACTGGAGTGCCCAAAAGCACAAGGTGTGCAATACTCAGAGACATGGCCAAGGTAAGAAAGGCTGAAAGACGACCACCACTGAACAAGACACACAAGCTGAAACATCAAGACTGGGCCAAGAAATATCTCAAGACTGATTTTTCTAAGGTTTTATGGACTGATGAAATGAGAGTGAGTCTTGATGGGCCAGATGGATGGGCCCGTGGCTGGATTGGTAAAGGGCAGAGAGCTCCAGTCCGACTCAGACGCCAGCAAGGTGGAGGTGGAGTACTGGTTTGGGCTGGTATCATCAAAGATGAGTTTGTGGGGCCTTTTCGGGTTGAGGATGGAGTCAAGCTCAACTCCCAGTCCTACTGCCAGTTCCTGGAAGACACCTTCTTCAAGCAGTGGTACAGGAAGAAGTCTGCATCCTTCAAGAAAAACATGATTTTCATGCAGGACAATGCTCCATCACACGCGTCCAAGTACTCCACAGCGTGGCTGGCAAGAAAGGGTATAAAAGAAGAAAATCTAATGACATGGCCTCCTTGTTCACCTGATCTGAACCCCATTGAGAACCTGTGGTCCATCATCAAATGTGAGATTTACAAGGAGGGAAAACAGTACACCTCTCTGAACAGTGTCTGGGAGGCTGTGGTTGCTGCTGCACGCAATGTTGATGGTGAACAGATCAAAACACTGACAGAATCCATGGATGGCAGGCTTTTGAGTGTCCTTGCAAAGAAAGGTGGCTATATTGGTCACTGATTTGTTTTTGTTTTGTTTTGGAATGTCAGAAATGTATATTTGTGAATGTTGAGATGTTATATTGGTTTCACTGGTAATAATAAATAATTGAAATGGGTATATATTTGTTTTTTGTTAAGTTGCCTAATAATTATGCACAGTAATAGTCACCTGCACACACAGATATCCCCCTAACATAGCTAAAACTAAAAAACTAAAAACTACTTCCAAAAATATTCAGCTTTGATATTAATTAGTTTTTTGGGTTCATTGAGAACATGGTTGTTGTTCAATAATAAAATTAATCCTCAAAAATACAACTTGCCTAATAATTCTGCACTCCCTGTAGATCTTGCTAGTGGTTTGACATATAAAGCCGAATGCTTCCAAAGCCCTAAACATGAAACCCCAGCTGACCCTGTCAAACGCTTTCTCTGCGTCTAATGACAGGATCAGCAGGGGTTCTCTGTTTCTATCCAACAAATCGATTGCATCTATTAATCTCCTCACATTATTTCCTGAATTTATCCCAGGGATAAATCCACTCTGATCTGTATTTATGATTCCCGGCAATATTGTTTTTAGTCTCTTAGCGATAATCGTAGAGAACAGCTTAACAACTACATTTATTAAGGAGATCGGACGATAATTTTTCACGTCTCTAGGTGTTTTTCCTGGCTTTAATACTGGCAAAATATTTGCCTTCAACATTTCTTATAGCGGCATTAAAAGTCCTGGTTAATGGATCTGCAATTTTATCCTTCATTATTTTATAGAATCTGTTGCCAAAACCATCTGGTCCTGGGGTTTTAAAATATACTAATTTGTTTATTTGTTCCAGTACTTCCTCTTTTGTAATGTCTTTATTTAGTTCCTTACTTTGTTCTAAGGTTATTTTTGATAATTTGACATCTTTTATATAATTGTCTATTGACTCGTCTGAACTGTTTATAGGTAAATTGTAAAGAAACTTATAATTATTAAAAGCTTCTCCTATTTCGGTTGGTGCTCTACATATTTTCCCTTCATATATAATTTTATCAATTCTATTGTCTGCTTTTCTTTTTTTTTTTAACTGGTTTGTTAGAATTTTATCTGCCCTGTTTT